TAACTTCAGGGAAAAATCCCTACCTGGGGAAACAACCTTTCTTGGAGAGGTGACCTTGGTTAAAACACATAGTGCCAAGAAGGTGAGCAAACATATTAAGAATAGTATGCCATATATGCCAGGTCCCTTGAAACAGCAAGGATGGACCGGCTCCCGGCAAAAATGGCTTTTCTGAGGTCAACTATGATTTTAGTTATGAATAATGATAACTATATTTATAGGCTAATTATGATTACTTCTAAAAATGAATGCTCTTTACCTCTTTGGCATAAGATTGTATCACTCCAGCTGCTTCTATTTTTCTTTTGCATCTCTGTTTAACAGTCATACTATTATTATCCAAATCTTGCATGAGTTTAAAGAAAGCCAACTCATTAAACAACACTTCAGATATCTCTACAAGGAGATCCTCTCCACAGTCTTTCAGTTTTCTTCCAGCAAATTTTGCCAGTGAATCCTATTGAAATAACCAAATATTTTAAGTTTACAGTGAATGTCAACTGTGGATAGAGCAATACAAATCTAAATTATAATAGTCATCTAGTAAAAAAAACCAAAACCACCAATTTTATTACTTTTTAGTATTGAAAAAAACCTCAACTCTATTCAAACTGAAATACATCATCAAATGAACAAGTCTGCTATATTTCAGACACTTCTTAATAAAGCCTCTTATCTTTTTCTTCCTAAAAATATGAACTATGCTGTTTAGAAAACAGGCAAATAACTATTATATCTGGTGTCCCTTCCCTCCAAAAACTATCTTATCTAATACAATCATGGAAAGAAGTACAAATAGTGGTACCTTTCATAAGAAAAAAGTAATTTAAGCTCTAGCTCATGAAAAACTTTCAATACTTTAAGAAAGATTTAATGTACACTAGCCTTATTCTTCATGAGTCCCCTTGTGAAAAAAATAAATCAGGAGTAGGATAAAAGAAAAGCAGATTTTCTGAGATGTAGAAAAAAAAATCTTATTTCCAAATTTATACTTTGGGATTTTCCCAGAATTATGATTATAGTAGGGAAAATTGAGGCAGGACTGCATGGATCTTGATAAACAAAAAGTATTTAAATTACTCTTTTAACCTGATTCTAAAAGGGAGTTATTTCTTCATGTAGAAATAAGCTAACTAAATTTATAAAAATACATTTATTTAAAAATTACCTTAAGCATTCTTAAACAATGGATAATACCAGTGATGTCTTATATACCTTATAGGTTATATGTTAGTTATATTAAATAGATCCAGGACAATTTAAAAACTACATATAATTTATACTTTAGTCCAAATAAAAAAATGGAAAATTATAGTGATGGAAATTTGCATCAAGCTTAGGGTTTTAAAAATTAGCAAAGTGCCCAGTGGTGTGGCTAAGAGGTTGAGTGTCAACCCATGAGGTCACAGGTTCGATTTACAGGCAGGGAACTGCCCAGGTTGCAGGCCCGTTCCCCAGTAGAGGGTGCAGAAGGCAGCCTATCGATGGTCCTCTCTCATCAATGTTTCTCTCTCTCTCTCTCCATCTCTCTCTCTCTCTCTCTCTCTCTCTCTATCTCTCTCTCTCGAAAAAACAAACAAACACTAAAACAAAAATAGCAGAGTAATAATGCTGTTTGTAAAATCAACTTAAACACAGTAATAGGAAGGAAAAATTTTATAGAAAAATTTTGTAATAAACATTCTTAAAATGTATTTTCTAGTTTGGAATAACAATACACATCATAGAACTATCTCAGTGGGAAAATACACAGATGAATTTAATCATAGAGATTTTTATTATATGGAGTATGTAAGGTACCCTTACCTAACACAGGATTCTCTCAGCCTTAGCACTATTAACATCTCACTAGATGCTGGATGCCTCCCTGCCTGTTGTGACAAATAAAACGTCTACAAACATGGCTAAATGTCTCCTTGGAGGGAAAATGACCCCCGCCTCCTTGAAAATCACTACTGTACATAATTTAGGTTACTATTACAGTCTAAGAAGTCTCCACAATCAACAGGTGGTTTCTAGCTTCAAAAATTTCCCAGATTGATAAAAAATTATTTGAGAAAACAGGATAAAAATTTTTCAAACAGCCCTAGCCAGTTTGGCTCAGTGGATAGAGCATCAGCCTATAGACTGAAGGGTCCTGGGTTTGATTCTGGTTAGGGCACATGCCCAAGTTGCAGGCTCGATCCCCACGGAGGGGCATGCAGGAGGCAGCTGATCAGTGATTCTCTCATTATTGATGTTTCTATTTCTCTTTCCTTCTCCCTTCCTCTCTTAAATCAATAAAAATATACACACCTAAACAATTTTTTTTTCACAGTTCAAACTTGAAATTTCTTAGTAAGAAAAAAAATCAAAACAAAATGTTATTAGAGTTGGGAGAGGCCTTAGAGATGATCATTAAAATTAAATGAAGACACAGGCCCTAATACAATTTTTTTAACCAGGTAAAGGAATAACCTAAAAAGTATTAAAATGTCACCACAAATAAATGCTAGATGGAGAGCTACTTAAATGTAGAATGCCTGAAATGGCAAAAAAAAATCCTAATCGGGTGGTACATATTTATGTCATACAAGTATAAACTCTTACCTGTAATATACTTCCAAGCTGTTTATGAAAGAACTTTACAAACTCTTTGCTCTCATCATTTTCCTGGGTCAGGGTCAACACCATGCGTCTTACTGAAGTCAGAAGCTGAGAAGAGCATACTTCATCCATGTGCTCCTGAGGAAAGTCCTAGCTGGTTAGGATATAAACTTACCTATCGCTCAAATAAAATCAATCCACATAATATGAGATTTTATTTTTCTTGCAATAGATGCTTTTCAACTTTCAGATATACATTTGGAATAATTTATTCATAAGAATAGCCAACTCCCCAAGCCCCCTCTATACACGTCAAGAGGTTTGCAAATTTTGATTCAACATAGCAGATAATAGCCAGTAAAAGAAACTGCCTGATAAAAATCTTCTCATCACTTTTTTTCTGTACCTTAAGCAGAATGACTCATGCCATAGTTTCCACATTGTCTGTTTTCCTGTCTGCAGTTGAGTTCAACTACTCTTACAACCATCCTCAGGCTTTCTCAATTGGCACTACTGCATCTGGTCTCTATGCACTAGATGCCAGTAGTGCCCTCCACCCTCCCAAGCCCTGATAACTAAAAATGTAGCTAGACATTTCTAAATGTTTGAGGGTCAAAATGACCCCCAGTTGAGAACCACTGTCCTAACTTTTTTAACAGGCCACTTTGGCCTTAAAGAGAATTTACCACTAGGCCACTTTGGCCTTAAAGAGAATTTACCACTAGACCTAGTACACAGTCTCTTTTCCTTGATCTTGTTTGTTTTTGTTTTTTTTAAAAATATATTTTATTGATTTTTTACAGAGAGGAAGGGAGAAGGATAGAGTTAGAAACATCGATTCTATCCACTAAGCCAAACCGGTTAGGGCTTCCTTGATCTTGCTTTAGAAGCATGTTAAAACTTGCTACAGCCGAACCGGTTTGGCTCAGTGGATAGAGCATCGGCCTGCGGACTGAAGTGTCCCAGGTTTGATTCCGGTCAAGGGCATGTCCCTTGGTTGCGGGCACATCCCCAGTAGGGGGCGTGCAGGAGGCAGCTGATCGATCTCTCTCATCATGTTTCTAACTCTCTATCCCTCTCCCTTCTTCTCTGTAAAAAAATCGATAAAATATTTTTAAAAAAACTTGCTACAATCTAAATGATGGGTTAGCTTTCCATTGTCACTGTCTTACACATTGAAAAGTACAAGTAGATTTTAAGAAATGAGACCAATTACAACATATTTTGTAGTTTGCTGTATCTGAATGAAAAGAAGACTGGCTTTTCATATCTAATTTTTTAAATTTCCATTTAAATTAAAATGTAAAAGAGTGCTCTCTCTGGTACAAGTCTTGCCTTCACTTTCCATTTCTTTCTCTCTTTCTTTTCTAATTGAATTTAGAGAGAGGAAGGGAGAGGGAGAGAAAGAGAGAGATTTTCCCCCTTATTTATGCATTCATTGGTTACTTTTTTTTCTTTTTAAAAAACATTTTATTAAGGTATGACTGACATAAAATGTGTACATTGAGTTTGAATATCATTTTCATTCTTGCCATCCTTGTTACTATGTTGGTCTATACGTTCCTTAAAATGTTGTCTGACATAGTTAAGGATATTGCTGGAAAATTGGCTAAGAGTGTGAATAAAATGGAAGAGTGTTGATTGAAAAACAAAACAAGCATATCGTCCCTTGAAAATAGCTGTATTTTTGTTAACCTAGATCAGTGGTTCTCAAAGTGTGGGAATGTTCTAAAACTGCAAATGTTTTGTTTGGATCAACGTACTGGTTATTTTTCAAAGTCTGTGTCAAATTTTTAAGGTTTCTTGTTTTAGCAGATATTTTCAAACTTGTCTTTTATCTCTTTGAAAATACTAAGAGCCCTGGCCAGATAGCTCAGTTGGTTAGAGCATTATCCCATGATGCCAAGATTGTGGGTTTGATCCCTAGTCAGGGCACACACAAGAAGCAACCAATCCTCCTATATAATAAAGGGGTAATATGCAAATTGACTCTCACACCCTCGCACAAGATGGCCGCCCCCATGTGGTCACAAGATGGCCATCACAAGATAGCCTGCAGAGGAGGGCAGTTGGGGGCAACTGAGCCAGCAGGGGAGGGCAGTTAGGGGCGACCAGGCCAGCAGAGGAGCAGTTAGGCGTCAATGAGGCCAGCAGGGGAGTGGTTAGGGGTGATCAGTCTGGCAGGCAGAAGCAGTTAGGGGCAATCAGGCAGGCAGGTGAGCAGTTGGGAACCAGCAGTCCCGGAATGTGAGAGGGTGCACTGGGTCTCTAGTAAATACATAAATAAGTGGAACAACAAATTGATGTTTCTTTATCTCTCCTCTCTAAAATCAATAAATCAATAAAAATGTAATCAACTTCTAAAAATTGCTATTTTATACTCTCTCTGATAATTCCAGTATCTGAAGTGTTTGTGTCATTATTTGTTGTCTATTATTTCTGCATGTTCTTTTCAGGATGTCTCCTTGTATACCTGCTATCTTTGAAAATGTGCTGGAAGTTACTAGAAAAGGGGTACATGTGCATGAATACTTTGATGTCTGAGATATTACATTTCTCTAAAGATTATATTCATTTGCTTTTGTCAGTCACCTGGGCACACCACCAGCCTGATCAATATTGTAGATTTTGAAGGCTGAGGTTCCCTATACCTCCAAGACGAGCTGAATCTGAGAGACATATTCATTTCCAGTTCAACATTTTCTTGAAGGTGGTTTCATTTGGGGTTCCAGTCCAAATGTGGGGTGATTACTCAGAATCCCAGCTTTCAGCATGTTTACACTTGTACCCCTTATACTGCATGTCCACCGACCTCACAGCTGAGATTCACATGGGTCTCCTTCCAGCAACAAATGGCTTCAGGCGAAGGCAGCCCTGAGTGTTGGAATTACAAACTACCTCTTGCTTCTCTAGAGTTGGATCCCTAATTCTTCACTCCTGTTAGCTCTTTGGAATGCTTTTCTTTTCTCAACATTCCATCCAGCTACATTTTCTATGGAAGAGTCAGTCCTAATTACCCAGGCCAGCATTACCGGAATTTGTAACCCTTCACTTAAGCTTTATCATCCTCCCTCCAGTCGCCCTGCACAGGTCCTTCCTATCCCGGGGAAGGGAACAGAAGGGAAGAAAGACAAAGAAGAGATGGTGTCTGTTTTTATGACTTTGTTTTAGGGGAGTAGAAACTTACACTTCCTCAGGAAAAGCTACACCTTTTCAGAGTGAGGAGATACGGTTACCTAGAGTTTCTCCACTTACCTAATTTCATATGCTCAATTTATCCCCATTTTGTCCAGTGGGTCACGCGATAGGAGATGACAGTGTCCAGCCACTGGGCAGAGTGACAAAAGAGGGGATGGGTTGACCTGAGGTGTTCTGCTATGGGGCACAAGTGGCTGCTGGCGGCCACTGGACTGCCTGGCACCGGCAGCAGGATGGTAGGCAGAGAAAGTGCTCACCCAGTGGGAAGTGAACACGAAGCGCAGCGCACATGCCTACACAGACCCTGGTTACTTATATGTACCCTGACCCTGACCAGAGGTAGAACCCAAACCCTTGGTATACCAGATGACACACTAACCAACTTAGCTGCTCAGCTAGGCCCACTTTCTATTTCTTGCACTTTTTTCTCTGCCCTGTTCATTGTTATTAAACAAAATTAATAGTACTGCTTACCAATTTCATACTCTCTCTGAGGAACAATCTATATATATATCCTCTTATCTAATAAAAGAGAAACATGCAAATTGACCATCCTTCTGCTACCCCCACCAGCCACGCCCACCAGCCAATCAGGAGCAAGTATGCAAATAAACCCAACCAAGATGGCGGTGGCCACAGAGCTGAAGCAAACAGGAGGCTTGGGTTGCCCCTGGCAATGGAGGAAGCCAAGTTTCCCACCTGCCTTGGCCATCTGTGGGCTCTGCTCAAGGTTACAAAGTTTCAATTATATAAGATAAATAAATCCCAGATACCTGCTTGCAGCTGCTGTGGCCTCCGCTCAAGGAGGGTCTGGGAGCCTAGGTTGCCCGGGGCCATGGCCAGCCTGCAAACAGCACTCAGCCCCTCACCCAGGCTGGCCAGGCACCCCAGTGGGGACCCTCACCCTGAAGGGGGTGTGGCCAGCCTGCTAACAGCCGTCAGCCCCTCACCCAGGCTGGCCACACCCTCATGGGGTGAGGGTCCCTGCTGGGGGGCTTGGCCCGCCTGCAAACAGCCATCAGCTCCTCACCCAGGCTGGCCACGACCCCCCAGCAGGGATCTTCACCCCATGGAAGTATGGCCAGCCTGCAAACCACCACAGGCCCCTCGCCCAGGCCGCCCCACGCCCAAGGGAACCCACACCCTGATCCAGGACACACTTCAGGGCAAACCAGTCGGCCCCCACCCGTGCACCAGGCCTCTATCCTATTAAAAGGGCGGGTAATATGCCTCCCGGCACCGGGATCAGCGTGACAGGGGGCAGCGCCCAAACCCCCTGATCGCCCTGTGGCTCTGTGTGTGACAGGGTGCAGCGCCCCCCTCCCACCCCACGGGCCCTGCTCTGTGTGTGACAGGGGGTGGAG